GTGAAATGTACTGTACACAGTGAAAAGTACTGTACACAGTGAAATGTACTGTACACAGTGAAATGTACTGTACACAGTGAAATGTACTGTACACAGTGAAAAGTACTGTATACAGTGAAAAGTACTGTACACAGTGAAATGTACTGTACACAGTGAAAAGTACTGTACACAGTGAAATGTACTGTACACAGTGAAAAGTATACCTGAAAAACTTTAAGGAACACTCTCTCAATAAACCAGAGTACGAGTGCAACCACCAGAAGAAAGTACGGGAAGTACAGCATGAAAGGTTCCACGGATCCATTCATTGTACAGTATTTCTTCACAAACCATGCCGAGAACCCGGGATCTGAAAAATTTAAGAATGATGAGACAAGATTTACAGATAATACTTTGGAAATTTTGTTTGAATTTTGATTTTAAGCATGTTTTATGCTAACGTTATTTTTCTTCAGAATTTTATGAAATTGGGAAAGGAAAAAATAGTTTTCATTATTACCTGTTGAATTATTGACATAAGACCCACAGAAATTCTCCTGTAAAAGATAAAAATACAGAAAAAAATAAATTGATGATCTCCACGCAAAATAATGTATCACTTATCAAATTAGCGTAACATATTGTTCAATGTTATAAGTCATTTAATCTTTATGACGTTTATTTGCAAAAAAACTTCCTCAAATACCTGACAAAAGTTGCAGTCCAAAGGTGTACTTTGAATAATAGCTGTGGGCAGCACCATTAAACCAATAAGGATGAGTATATATATTAAGTTATCCTCTAAAGTGTCCCACCAGGGCCTAAAATTGGAAAATGTAAGGAATTGAAATTTTCAAACAAAAATTAGGAGTGACTGTCTGATGAGAGTGCCAGAAGGTATTTTTGTGCTGCCGCATGGCATTGATAGAATGTTGCTTATTTCCTAGATAAATTTTCTTCTCCCTCTCTAACCCTATGCTACAAAATAAATATTAATATTTCGTGTGGAAAAGTAGTTAAAACCAGGGTTATAGATAAGTTATTTCAACTGTCAAGAATCTGTTCCAACATGAAGGTTTTCACAGGGGCTTACAATTTGTACCACAATTCGACCCCCCCCCCCCCCTCTGGAATAATTTTTGAATGAAAGCAGAAAACACCCTTGAAATCTGGGTCACCATTCCCCTTAAGTTTATGCTTAAAAGCCAAGTATGGCCTAAGCGCTTATCCCGAAAAATGTCTCAAAATAATCTTGACCTTAGTACTTAAAACTTAGTCTAACTAACCCGCCTCTTTCCCCTCCCACGGGGGGGGGGAAGGAGGGTAAGTTTAAACTTGTTTCTGTTAAGCTCAGCTTACGTCTGCATTGTGATTGACGTGCTCGTACCATAGTCTAATAAATATTCACCTGAACGCTTTTTCAGCTTCCGAGTGTCCCAGCACCTTCCCAATCAGAGCTGTTCCTATTGCAGCCATTCTTATTGATTCTCTCTAACACGTTCCGTCTCTCACTGTACTTGAATGAAAATTGCAAAAATAAACCCAATTTATTTGAATTTTTCTCTTCTCGGCCTTAATAATTCTGAGTTCTGACAAAATACAATCCTTACAAAGAAAACTAAAAAATCCTTATTAGGGCATCAGATATGTGCATAATATGGTTCAATGTGCGGATTCTGGCATCTGTGGGTATTGGACGAATTGGACAGGTTCATTGAAAACATACAAATAGAAAACAGATGTCTTTTGTTTTGGTTCAGAAGGCGCGGCTTACGTTGTGCCGCGTATGTGAGACAGAATACGTTGAAACAGCTGATTAAATTTTATGTCGTCTTTTATCATAAATTTAACCAAACCAAACATGATAACAGATGTTTTTTAAATAAAAACAACAAATTTATGACAACACAGCGATCAGCAACAACTTTAAACCATCAAATTTGAAACACACGTTTGTAGAATCGGAAAATAACTGTTTGTAGTTTTTATGTTAATTGGTTAAAAATTGTCAATCTCTAAAGCCAATTATAGCTTTGGAACATATACGGTTATTTGATATAATATGGAGTAACATGTACGATGTACAGAGCGTCCCACATCATATTAGGTTATCTTCAAGCATTAACTCCAAAATACACACAAAATACTCGAATAACCTAGTATTTTCGGGTCCGTCTTAGTATACGAATTTTCATATCAAATTAATTTAATTTTGTTACACTTTACAGATTTACTAATGGAGAGCCCTGAAAGATCAATCAGATCCCGATCAAGATCAATCGATAGACTATCTAGAAATGGATTCAATCGTGGTGCAAACACACGACCAGTCTCTAGAAGTAGGAGTAGGACCAGGAGTAGGAGTAGAAGCAAAAGTAGAAGTAGAAGTAGAAGTCCTATCTCATTAGTTGCGCCTAAATCAAGGTAACAAATAATTTCATCCAGAATAAAAACATCAAACAAATTTAAATATAAGGCCTGACACCCCGTGCATAGAGTTTAATTTCAATTTTTTCAATTTGAAATAAAAAAAAATGACTTTGAAAGTGGTCTTTTTCGTTTAAAGTTTGTGGATCAATAAACAGTATTATTCTTATGTTTTGTAGTTTTTTTTATTTTGTTTCCGAAGCTTGGGGTATTTTTGTTGCCGCTACTTTTTATCTCTAAATATGTTTGATTATAATTAATGAGGTCTTATTATAATACAGAGCTTCCCATATCATATTAGATTATCTCCCAAGATCTCATACTCGAGAAACCTGGTGTTTTCTGCTGAAACATTTTTATTTTTGGCTAATACAAATAAGTCATTCTTTTTAAATTTATTGATTTACCCGAAAATCTTAATTTAGGGCCAAAAACTATCCGAAATGATGTGGGACACCCTGTATGATCTTATTTCCTTATTCATTTTTTCATATAGTGATTTAAGAAGATATTCCCCTGCGCCCGGAGATGTTTCTAGATCCAGAACGAAATCAAGGTAAAAAAACAAGTCATTGTTAATGAAAAAGACAGTTTTAAAGTTAAATTTCATTATTATAGATCTTCAGTGGCAGCTTCTAAACCATTGAAACTGCAGGATCGAGAGCGTGAGAATCCCAACCCCTCAAGATGTATTGGAGTATTCGGTCTCAGTTACTCCACCACAGAGTCAGACCTGAAGCATGAGTTCGGGAGGTTTGGTCGGCTCGACAAGGTTCAAATAATCAAGGATGGACCTACGAGAAGATCTCGCGGTTTTGGTTTCGTCTACTTCGACGAACTTGAAGACGCCGCTGAAGCTAGACGGAAAATGAACGGAGTTAAGATTGCCGATCACACAATACGAGTTGATTTCTCCTTGACCCGGAGACCACACAAACCAACTCCAGGGGTTTATATTCATCACGGCAGGCCGACCAAACCTGCCGAAAGACTAGATACGGCGTATAGAGGCGGAGAGGGAAGACGGAATGAACGATCAAGGCGTAGATCTCAACCCAGAGACTATTATAGGGAGGGACACAGAGACTACTTCTCAAAGGACTACTTTGAAAGGTTTGTAAGAATTCATTATCCCTCAAATAATTGATACTAAAAGAGAATTTAGATAAAGATTGTTCGGATTTTGAAATTTTGTTATCTATATCTGACTTTTAATGTAAAAAGGGTTGTTAGCAATCCCTGAAAAAAAACAGAAGAAACCGCTGTTATGGGCAAAAAAAAACTGGAAGTAAAAAATGTTACTTTTACAATTTTTTACTGCCTTCACCAGAATAGGTTCATGATCAGGCTCTGTATCTAAATGCTGGGTGGGCAGCTAGTTGACGGCGTTCAGCTACCATCCACTAATGTATATCACGAATGTTCAAAAATAGTGAGTTAGTCCGACTGAATCTAGGCCGTATGCTGAATGTTGATGTGTAGCGCCCTGAAGACGGTCTGGAGATTACAAATCGGATTACCTTTCAGATCTACCTATTTTATTATTATTATCATTTTAACATTGGTTTGTTCACTTTGTCATTGTAAAGATTTATTAGTTTTTACTTATTAAAAATCCTTTTATTTAGGGATTATGATCCACGATATCAAGAGCAGGAAAGATACTATAGACACTCACGTCATCGACAAAGGTTCCAATTTGTTGTTTTTAAATTTCTTAGCTGCTGTCTTTTTTAAATATCTGAAGATTTATGGTAGATTTTTATTACCAGTGCGGTTATCCACTTAACACAGAAATGCATGAAATAGCAAGTTATTAGTTTTTATTTTAATTTTTTTTTTTTTTTTAACTGGAAATTTATGGTAGATGTTTATTACCAGTGCGATTATCCACTTAACACAGAAATGCTTATTATTAGTTTCTTTTGTAAAATTAACACTAATTTCCCTTAAATTATCTAAATAATCAGCGTTTCACAGGGGTGTGTATTTTTAAAAATAACAATNAAAATTTAACATTTAAAAGTCCATGTTTTTTAATCCTTTTTTTAGACTTTTTACTGTATTAATTTCCCCTATTCTTTCATTTTTCCCATTTTAGTCCAAAAAAACCCTAAAAAAGTGTGCCCTAAGATTATTAACATTTATAAATTAATTCGTACGATTACTCCAAAGAAAAGATAAATTGAAATTTTGGTCGAATTTTTAAAATTAATTGCTACCATAGGTTAAACTTAAAAAAAAAATTATATTACCTTTAAAATGTTTGACACCAACATCTTGTTTAATCTTAAGATACAGTGAACCATATTATGAGGATCGGTATTCCAGGGATTACACGGATAGCTACTATGACGAAAGATATTATAGAGATATGGACACGGACAGGTAAATAGATTCATGAACAAACAAACAAAGAAGCTGTTGGACAAACTAAACAAACAAACTGGCCGATACAAGTCAGTGCAAAATTCAAACCTATTAGTTTTAGCAAAAATTCCCAATCTAAGAGCAATTTTGTAAAATATGTTATTGTTTAGATATTACTCGATGAAGGACAGATATTACGGATCGTCTTCATACGACAGAATTTCAACTGAATCCAGGTCCAGACGGTCACCTAGTCCACTACCAGTACTGAGGGCACGACGCTCACCTTACCCATCTCAGAGACAAAGATCAAGAAGTCCGTTATCTTCCACTTCCAGACTAAGAAAATCCTCTGGATCCTTACCCCTAAGATCACGTCGGTCCGCTAGTCCTTTGCTGAGAAGACTTACTAGATCTCCTATTCCTTTGCCTTCAAGATCCAGAAGGTCCAGTCCATTTCCTTCCGACTTTATGCGGTCACCTGGTCCATTGTTGTCTAGATCAAGAAGTTCTTTATCTCCCCCAATTGCTCCTTCATTAGAACGATCATCTAGTCCCTCTCCACTACCCAGGCAATCTCCCTGTTCAACCACAGCAAGAAGGAAGAGAAGTCCTGAATCCAGATCAAGAGTTTCACAATCTGGACCCTCCATGATGTCAAGAAGTTCCTCTGCGAGGTCCAGAAGTCCCCCACCGGCAAGGGAAAGGCCTCGAATACGTCGTTTCTAAATTTAGGCAGAATTTTTTTATATTTTCAATTTTTCGAAAGTTAAAATTTGCCAATTCTGAAATATTATAAAAAAATATTAATTCTGAATTTAGTTTGAAATGATCTGAACGAATTGTATATATTGTGATCAAACTCACCCACCCGTAAAGAGCTGCCCCGCACACTTGAACTCAATTCCTTCCCAGGAAAAGACCAGGACCTTTGTTTACACCATATACCTTTAAGCACAAAGCTTTTGTTGCACTTGATATTCATACTTGCTTTTTTTAACTAGTGAATAATCATGGTAAAGATTTTGAATAAATAAAAAATATTTGCTAAAAATTTTGTTCAGTAGTCACTTTTTACATTTTTTTTTGTACAAAAAGTATTTATTTTTATTTTTCAAATAGGAACTTGCGATGTTCAAATTGAATATCGAAGAAAATGTCAGATAAAGAAAATTTCAAATAAAGAAAATGTCAGATAAAGAAAATGTCAAATCGAGAAAATGTCAAATGAAGAAAATGTCAAATAAAGAAAATGTCAAATCGAGAAAATATCAGATAAAGAAAATGTCAAATAAAGAAAATGTCAAATAAAGAAAATGTCGAATAAAGAAAATGTCAAATTAAGAAAATGACAAATAAGGAAAAATCGGGATGTTCTTAAATGAGAAAACGTAAAAATAGAAAGATGTAAAGATTATGATGAAACAAAATAGATCGTACTTTAAAAAAGGAGAATAGTAAAAAAGTAAAATTTAAGAAAAAGAAAGAAAGTTAACAGCTAAACCAATAAAAAATCTAAATTTGAAGAGAGCCAATGTCTCAGAAAGCAAAAGTGAAGAATGTCAAAACTAAAGAGTCAAAAAAAATAAAGACAAATTCTCGTCAAGCTTTAATTATTCCAATTTCTAAAATGGCAGGTAATAAAAAATTTACATGACGACTCTAACATAGTTCCGAACCAATATTCGTATGAATGATGAAATAATCTTGATGTATTCTTTAACAAAGGCCGCAGAACTTACATAAATCTGAGCTTTTATGAAGTTTTTAAAAATACTAAAAATTTCAGAGAAAATGGATGCTGACGATTATAATTTAAAATGGAACAACTTTGAGACCGGAATAACAAGGAAAATGATAGAAATTAAATTAAATATAAAAAACGAGTATTAACCCTATATGTAAACTGTAAAGACTGGGAGTCTGAATCTTATAAAGGCTTTAGAGTATAAGAAAAGGGTTGCAAGGCACGTTCATAGTCCAATTTTTCAAGGCCCATTAAAAAAATACTTTTTTTATTTTGGGTCCGAGAGATTGGTTTGAAAAAAATGCTAAAAATGTATAAAATAAACATTTTTATTTTTGACAAAAATTAAGATGTGACACTTGTTTTTACATCCATCTGTAGCTGTATTAACAAAAAATTATCGGCTTTTTAAAAAAATATTTAACTACCTTTTTACCGTTCTCTACCCAACCCTTTAAATTAAAAAAATGTTTCAAAGAAATCGTTTTCAATACTATTTCCTTATAAGTAAAAAGTTCAAAGTGATAGTGTCCAAAATCGAGTGGGTAGGCGAGGGGAAAACAATTCAAACTAATACTGGATATCATTATTGAGTTTTATCAAGAAATTTAACTTTTTTTAAAGATTTTGTTTTTTGATCATATTTTCTATTTGTTAAAGTGGCCTGATAGAAATATTTAATTGTAATCAACTGTACGATGTAACACTGGTCTGCGGGGAGAAAAAGCTGGAGGTAGTGCTAGGAATCCTGATCAGAAATGAACACTTCAAGTCATAAAAACTTTCATATTATTGATTAGATAAGGGTTTTAAGGGTATCTTTTTATAATCTGGCATTCTCCTTAGAAATACAGTGTCACTGAAAATTATAACAATAGTGATGAGTCACTTTAAGTTTTTGATGTTTTCAGAACAATAACTTAAATTTACTAATTAGGCGCATCGTCTGGTTTTGTCTGCCTGTAGTCCGGTTTTCAGAACAATAATATAAATATACTAATTAGGCGCATCGTCTGGTTTTGTCTGTCTGTAGTCCGGTTTTCAGAACAATAATAGAAATACACTAATTAGGCGCATCGTCTGGTTTTGTCTGTCTGTAGTCCGTTTTTTAGAGCAATAATATAAATTTACTAATAAGGTGCATCGTCTTGTTTTGTCTGCCTGTAGTCCGGTTTTTAGAACAATAATTTAAATTTACTAATAAGGCGCATCGTCTTGTTTTGTCTGTCTGTAGTCCGGTTTTCAGAACAATAATTAAATTTACTAATTAGGTGCATCGTCTGGTTTTGTCTGCCTCTAGTCCGGTTTTCAGAACAATAATATAAATATAATAATCAGGGGAATCGTCTTGTTTTGTCTGCCTGTAGTCCAGTTTTTAGAACAATAATATAAATTTACTAATGAGGCGCATCGTCTGGTTTTCTCGGCATGTATTTCGGTTTTTAGAACAATGATATAAGTTTACTAGCTAGGCGCATCGTCTGGTTTTGTCTGTCTGTAGTCCGGTTTTTAGAACAATAATTTAAATTTACTAATTAGGCTCATCGTTTTGTATTGTCTGCCTGTAGTCCGGTTTTCAGAACAATAATATAAATTTACTAATTAGGCTCATCGTTTTGTATTGTCTGCCTGTAGTCCGGTTTTCATAACAATAATATAAATTTACTAATTAGGCGCATCGTCTGGTTTTGTCTGCCTGTAGTCCGGTTTTCAGAACAATAATATAAAGCGCATCGTCTGGTTTTATCTGCCTGTAGTCCGGTTTTCAGAACAATAATATAAATTTACTAATTAGACGCATCGTCTGGTTTTATCTGCCTGTAGTCCGGGTTTCAGAACAATAATATAAATTTACTAATTAGGCGCATCGTTTGGTTTTGTCTGCCTGTAGTCCGGTTTTCAGAGGAATATTCACACAAGCCAACCAAACCAATCCTATAGGTATATTCTACTTAAATTTTATAATTAGGTTTAATATTTGAAAAATGTTTGCTGCAAAGCTTACTGTTAAGTGTACCTGAGAGGAATATCCTTTGCTAATCTGGAAGCTACGGTTAAGTTTATGTACCATGGAGAAGTATGTATAGGTCAGGATAAACTCAGGTATTCTTATCGCTAATAATTATTTATTATTATTATCATGTTTTATAGTTATTATTATTGTTTTTTATTTGATATTTGGTATTACTAGTGAGTTTCTGTCCACTGCTGAAGACCTGAGGGTGAAAGGACTTTCAAGACATGAAAATGATTTACAAGAATCCAATACCTGCACCAGGGAACATCATACTTATACAGAAATTGGATACATCTTATCAACTGGTGTTAAATCCACCATTTATCAATCTTTTCATATTTCCAACCATTTATTTATTTAAATATAACAATTTCTCTAAACATCCCTGTATCAAATAACCTCCTCCAATATTTTACACAATTTTCTCTAATTTTAAACTATTTCCCTTTCTCCTTCCCCAACACAATACATTCTTTTTGAATATTAAACCATCTTATTAATATAAAACTATATTTTTTATATCTAACCATTAACATTTGTATTAAACAATCCTTTCATTTAACTGTTTTCCCTAATGATAAAAATAACAACAAAAATTGAGATTTTAAGAATAATAGAGATATAAAAAACAAGAAGCTGCTAGCCTATGATTATTTAAATTTTCTAATAACATTCTTTAAAAGACCTTTTTTCCTAATGATTAATCAATTACACCATTTATTCTAATGTCCGACCATCTCTTTTTAATCCTTTCTCCTCGTATCCATCATCCAACATTCATTTATATATCCGGCCCGGGCTATCTGCCAAGATATTTAACTTTTCTAGTTTTAACATCAAAAGAAAATGTTGTTATCAGAAGCAGTAGTAGTAGCAGCAATCGAACTTCAACGACGAAAAAGCGACCAATGCCCTTTATAAAACAAGAAAACGGAAAGAGAAAACGTTCAGAAGAACCTCAGACAAAGAAAGGTGAAAAATATTTTCCCTCGGTGGTCATAGATGACTTGTACCTAGCTGTACTTACATTGAAAAGAAATGTTTTATCGAAATGTAAAAATGTCTCAAATAAAAATATTCAATATTGCTTCTGGTAAATGGTTTTACCGAAAAATTTAGCCTATTTTGATTAGCCATGAGCCATTTGTTTATCGTGCATTAATTAATGTCTACTGCATAAATAAACAAGAAAATTATAGTAAATATATTTCAATTTTTTTTTTAGAAAAATCTCCGATATCTGATCGACCAGTTATACATCAAGTTGAATCGTTGGTAGAGAAACCATCGGTAAGTGTTCATACTGGAAAACCCCTTATTTTTGGAAATATCTCGTGTTATCGGAAAAATCACGTTTAATCGGAAATATCACGTTTTTCGGAAATATTCCGTTTTCCGGAAATATTACGTTTTTCTAAAAATACCAATTTTTTTTCGAAAATATCACGTTTTACCGGAAAAATCACGTTTTAGGAGAAATATCATGTTTCATCGGAAAAATCACATTTTACTGAAAAAAAATCCGTTGTTTAGGAAATATCACGTTTTATTGTGAAAATTACGGTTTATCGGAAATATCACATTAGAAGAGAAACATTACGTTGTATCGGAAAAGTTCCGTTGAAAAGGAAATATCCGATTTTTTCGGAAATATCACGTTTTATCAGAATAAAATTCTTTTTCGAATAAACTTAGATTAAAGTAAATTATCTGCTTGTGTTAGGATCATTGTTCTCCTAACCATGTTTTGGGCGTTCCTGGTCCAGAAATGGGCGTGGCTGAGCTAGGATATGAGGAGGAGGATTATGATTATGATGAAACTTTTGAGATCATTCCTCAGATGGATTTAGGTAAGAGGTTACAAAAAGAAGTGGTTATATAATATAAATCTATCTATCTATCTATCCATCTATCCTAGGTGCCCAGCTATATAGAGGACCTAAACCTAAAGCTGACCGTCTCCCAATAGTCAACTTTATAAACCTGAACAAGCTGAAGGTGGAGAACGGATACATGTGCAGCTTCTGTAACAGGGTCAGCGCAGATAACTCCAACATGAACCGGCATATAGAGGTTAAACATGCAGCAGAACTAGAACTTTATCTCATGCAACCAAGTGAGATGAATCAGCTCTAGCTCTACCCTAGAGATGGTTACAAGCCAACCAGGTTAAGTGAAATTATTGTAAGCTCTGAGAGCGAGATGTTTGTATGTTAAAGCTGGGACTTCTGTGCTCACAGCTGGGATCTCTTGTATTGTGTGGATATCGAGATCAATTTCTTATCTCGATCTTTTATTAATCTGCAGATTAATAAAATATCCAGCATGGTTATCGTACCCTGTAGGAATAGCTGAGATAAGGAAACTAAGCATTGATCCTCAAATTAAAACAGTCCTCAGTTGAAATCGAGATTAAGCAATCGGGGATTATGAGTATTCAGTTCTCAGCTCAGACTGTTCATTCCTCCTGGACGTTTCAGCTTGGTCAAGCCTCCTCATTGGTCCCAGGGATCAAATCAAATCAAATATATATATTTGTCCCAAGCCAAAAACATAGAAAATATCATATTTTAAAACATATTTGTAGACTTGAGACGGGGAGGCATTGATAGCCAGGGGCTGTTTAACACGCAGCCTCCCACTGGAGAGTCAGTTTTTGCAATGATGCTGACTTGAAGAAGAGGTGCTGCTGGATGTCATGCTGCTCATGGGATGGAGGGAGCTGGAGCCACTGGAGAGGATACTGTTCATAAACGTACAGGAATCCGTCAAGGAGAGGTCGGGTACCTTCATTCTCAGGGTGGAACACATAAAAATAAATGAGAGTTAAAGGGAGGAGCAAGAATTACAAAATAGTTTTTCACATTGAAAATCTTTAAGATTATCGAGAAGTTTGGCTTTTAACGATTGTTTAAAAATAATAATAATAAACAATTATCCTCGATTTTTAAATTGTCTGGAGTGGATATCAACTTCAGTTGCTAAATCATTCGCACATAAAAGTAACGCCCTCAGAGGTGATTGACCAAATACATGTTAATCGTCCTAATACTCACTAAATAACTGTGCTTCAACCGTAAACATGCTCAATTCATAAAGATTTCGATATTAGTTCCTAAACTAAAATTTCAATTTTGTACTTTAAGGCCTAGTCTTGACTGTATATCATTTAGTTTTATATATAATTTCGTGAAATTAATGTACGTTTCGTTTTTAAGTTGGATACCAAAAGTATTATTTAATGTTAAGTTTTGTTGTAAAGTCGTTAAAAACTATTTTGTGCAGAAAAACTCAAAAATGTTTAGAATATTTTAATCAAAAATTCTTATTGTAACACATAAGAGAACTAATGTATGATTTATGTATGAAGAACATTTTGATTTTTAGAGTAATTTTTTAGGATTTTTATTTCAGTTTGAACCAACAAATATCCTCGTTATATTTGATTTCATGTTTCTTCGTTTTTATTTGTTTATCTGACTTTTTCTCGGGCTCTGTTTATCTCTAAAGGGATTGTCAGCATATTTTAAAAATTCATTAAATCCAAATTTTTTTTAATTAGAAACACATTTTATCAATTTTCCGCCCAAGGAACTTTGATACGTTTTAAGTAAAAAAAATTATGGGGTTGAAAAATATATTATTATTAATAATTTAACACATTTTTTATTTTATTGAAAATTCTAGTTTAGGGAAAGTATTTATGAAATCTACAAATGTTACTCCCTTTTATTGTGAAACCTGCATTGATTGTATTTGTTGATAGAAAATATTGATTATTGTAAATATCTGAATGATCAAATCAGATTTGTTGTGTTTCTAATTCCAAAACTTATAAAATTTTTTTAATATGTGAACACTGAACACTGAGCAACCCCTTATATACATTTTTCAAATGCCTCTCCAAATGTTTTAGTAATCACCCATATTAATCACAATTTGACCAAAGTACAACATAAAGCTTGTATTATTATGTATTATTGTAAATAACAAGTTGAAATAGTAGCTCAAGTCACATCTTAGCCTTAATAGTCATATTTTCCCAAATCTTGATGACCTTTTTATGTTTAATTGTTTTTGTAATGATGTGTTGCCAAAACAATTATACTAAAAAATATGAAATAATTGTCTGTAAAATATCTCTGATAAAAACTAAATTGCCAAGTAATTTGCATTAAGAATTTGTTACATATTACTTTTTATATTGAAGAGTCTCGTATAATCTGTTTTCTGTATGTTTCAGATATACTATAAAGATATATGGTGAGCACCAAAAAAACAATAATAATATGAAAACAATTTTTGTTAGAAAGCATAAAATGGAAAGGGGGATTACTTTGTCTCAAAAACTCTCAAAAAAATTCTCTAAATGCACTTTTAAACATTTTGATTTGATTTGATTTAATTTTTTCTCTATGCTGCAGAGATCAACGTGAACCAGCAGAAAGGTGGTTCTATTTGATCTCGGCGGCACAAGAGGAGTAATTTAACCAGTCTTAATCAGCTCAACTATTTCTCCTATTTTGTTATATTCCTGATTTAAATTTAATAAATTTATCTCTAAAAATGAATGCAAACTGGCTTGAAGTAGAAGATGTTAATTGGTGCTCCGTGTATACAGATGGATGAGAACTATAACCTAAGATGGAACGACTATGAGAAGGGTTTGCTAGGAGGGTTCTCGAGTATCAGAGAGAACAGAGAACTATTCGATATTTCTCTAATGTGTGAAGATACTGTTTTACAGGTTAGATCAATCAATCAATCAATTTATCATTTAATCTAGCTACCTACTGTAATATTTAAATAAAACCTACTGTAATATTTAAATAAAACCTACTGTAATATTTAAATAAAACCTACTGTAATATTTAAATAAAATCTACTGTAATATTTAAATAAAACCTACTGTAATATTTAAATAAAACCTACTGTAATATGAATTCAGCTACCTACCTAGTCCTAGTCCCTAACCAATTAATCTAGCTACCTACTTAGTGCCTAACCAATTAATCTAGCTACCTACTTAGTCCCTAACCAATTAATCCAGCTTACTACCTAGTCCCTAACCAATTAATCTAGCTACCTACTTAGTCCCTAACCAATTAATCTAGCTACCTACTTAGTCTCTAACCAATTAATCTAGCTACCTACTTAGTCTCTAACCAATTAATCTAGCTACCTACTTAGTGCCTAAACAATTAATCTAGCTACCTACTTAGTCTCTAACCAATTAATCTAGCTACCTACTTAGTCTCTAACCAATTAATCTAGCTACCTACTCAGTCCCTACTCAATTAATCTAGCTACCTACTTAGTCCCTACTCAATTAATCTAGCTACCCATCTAGTCCCTTAACAATTAATCTAGCTACCCCTACGTAGTCCCTTAACAATTAATCTAGCTACCCCTACGTAGTCCCTTAACAATTAATCTAGCTACCCCTACGTAGTCCCTACTCAATTAATCTAGCTACCCCTACGTAGTCCCTTAACAATTAATCTAGCTACCCCTACGTAGTCCCTTAACAATAAATCTAGCAACCTAGTTAGTCCCTACTCAAGTTATCTAGCTACCCCTACGTAGTCCCTTAACAATTAATCTAGCTACCCCTACGTAGTCCCTACTCAAGTTATCTAGCTACCCCTACGTAGATCTAGCTACCCCTACGTAGTCCCTTAACAATTAATCTAGCTACCCCTACGTAGTCCCTTAACAATTAATCTTTAGAGAAGCTGCAAGGTCTCAAAGTAATCCCAGTATTGTCGCAAAAATTTGACCTGCTCCTTCTGTCTAGTTCAGCGTATTACACAATAAGACTTATGTTTGTCTGAGTTTTTGTTTAATAAATTTAAAAAAAATCACATTTAAGCGTTTTTGTTAAAGGCCCATAAGTTGGTGTTATCTGCCTGCAGCCCTGTTTTCAGACAAATACTCAATAGTCTCACACAGAATAGTCCTATAGGTAGGTAATAAAAGGTAGATTTTTATTTAACCATCATCAGTTTTTTACTTTATAATTTGACATAGTAATAAATCAGCTCTTCCATTTAATCTGTTAATAAGCAATTAGTCAGTCGGTAAATAAATCAATTCATCAGCTGGTTATGAACAATGTGGAGTATTCTTGAAGAACATTGAGTCCTTGTTGAACTTCATGTACTCCTATTGTTTAGTATGTCTGAGATGAGTATTCTTAAAGAACATGGAGTCCATGTTGAACTTCATGTACTCCTATTGTTTAGTATGTCTGAGAGGAGTATCCTGAAGAATATGGAGTCCCTGTTGAACTTCATGTACTCCTATTGTTTAGTATATCTGAGAGGAGTATTCTTGAAGAATATTGAGTCCCTGTTGAACTTCATGTACTCCTATTGTTTAGTATATCTGAGAGGAGTATCCTTGAAGAATATGGAGTCCCTGTTGAACTTCATGTACCAGGGAGAGGTGAACATCAACCAGAGCAGGATTACAGAGTTCCTCGCTACAGCAGAAGACTTGAAGATTAAAGGTTAAATTGATTCACAATTAATCACAATCTATTCCCAAATTTAATGAAAAACCTGAAGGTGTTGGACTATTTAAACTAAGTTGAATAACTTATCTTATGCGCTGATCCAAATTTGAGAGTAGAAGATTAACTATTTCTTGATTTAAATTCCTTCCACAGAAAATTTGGGCATATATTTTGACTCAACAGTCCTGTCAATTTCGAATAATTTTTGGTTGATTTATAAAGATCTGAAGAAAAAACGGACATCAAAAAGCAAGTTTTTATTCTATTAAGAATAATGGCTAATCAATCAATCAATATAGGTTTGTCCCGGAGTGAGGGTGAGTCTGGATCTAATAAAACCAAGTCAGTAGAAGATGAAAAGGAGGAGGAGCAGATGGAGAATGGGAATGGAAGGAAGAGGGTTAAACTAGTTTCATCCAGATCTCCAGATACTGAAGTACAAGGTAATATAGATAGTGCTTGAAGAAGAATGGTAGGTAGCTGGTTAAACTAGTTTTATCCAGATCTCCGGATACTGAAGTACAAGGTAAAATAGATGGTGCTTGAAGATAAATGATGGGAAGAGGGTTAAGCTAGTTTCATCCAGATCTCAAGATGGTGCTTGAAGAAAAATGGTAGTTAGCTGGAATGGAAGGAAGAGGGTTAAACTAATTTTAATCAAGATCTGCAGATACTGAAGTACAAGGTAAAATAGATAGTGCTTGAAGAAGAATGGTAGGTAGGTGAAATGGTAGGTAGCTGGTTAAACTAGTTTAATCCAGATCTCCGGATACTGAAGTACAAGGTAAAATATATATATAATATATACAAGATCCTTCAAGAAAATAATTCCATAAATTATGATTTCTTAAATATAAACTTTTCTTTATTTCCTTAATAACTTTTAGAATAGCTCAAGCATTGCCTATTACTTAGTTATTTATTATTATAAATTCATGAAATTTTTATAAAAGCTATTTTTAAATATCGTCTAGCTGCCCAATTTGACGGTTTATTGGAAACAAAAAGTTAGTCGTGATATGCATCACACTTCAATTACTTTTTATTTCCTTCTCTGAGCTAGAAGCATAGCGCGTATATTTTGGAGGAAAAAGATTTATGAAAAATATTAGATATTGATTCTTATGAATGTTTCCATTTTTTTAAGATTGCAACTATGAAGGCACTATTAAAAATTTTTTGTTTTGCAGCTGTGGCTTTAAAGAAAGAATTAAAATCACAATCTGTGATGGAGTACAGTCAACCTGTAGAAGAAAACCAAATTATCATTCCAAAATTAAAGGTATNCCCCGACATAAAAAATATATTTGTTCCTTATTGAAATTAATGTATACCACGTGATTTTTACGTTGTGACACAATCTCTTCTGAATTTCGAAACGTAATTTAGACTGAATTGTCAATGAGCATCCATGAAACCCACAAAACTATGGAATAGAAAGATGACATGCAAAGTAACTAAATCTGCAAAAATATTTAAACAAAGAGTAATCAATATTTATCTTGAGAATTATGAGAGGTTTAAATGCGAAAAATCTAGTTGTATATCATGCAAGTGGATTTTGTATAAAAAACTAAAAAAGCTGAAACTTTATTAGCTTATTTGTTTATGTGCATCCACCATCTATTTTAATTTATTAAATTAATTCCTCCGATATCTCACCCTGCCACAGATTACCTGACAAACTCCTGCCTCCCAATCAACTCCCTAACTATCCAAAAACATAATTTGTTGTGTGTAACCAATTATATTCATTATTGTCAACTATCTTGGGACCAACCACTCAAAACAACCTATCCTGGTTAGGCGGGTCCAGACTGCATTGTAAATTGTGATTGCTTATTTGTGATATCTCATGCTTTGTAGTTGAATAAAAATATGAAATATGAATGAAGCTATATTATATGTGCATAAGATGTTGGTATATAGCAAAAAGTTTCACCAGTGGCCGAATTTAATGAATTTGAGCGGCGGTTTAAATTTAAGCCGCGGCTTAAATATGGTTGGTTCCACTTTAAATTGTATCAAATGTCTCAAGATTTAAGCCGGCGCTAAATTTAAACCGGATTTGGCGGATTTTGGCGGATTTAAACCGCGGCTCAAATTCTTTAAATTCCATCTCTGTATAAATTATAACTTGAGTCTAAAAGTCGCCTTCGTATTCCATAGTTTTTGGATGCCAGTGTAAAAACCCGCCTTCTGGTCTCTGATTTCTCTGGTTCTAAAAGTAGGCAATATTTATACTTATATTTTGTTTTGTTTCAGGGCTCAGATATGTTGGATATTGTTGACAATGATTATATAGATGATGACTTTAACTATAGTTCCATGGACTACTCAAGCTTTCAGGATAATAGTTCGGACTATCAAATACATAGTAAAGGTAGGAGAGACTACTCGTTGTCAGGATAATAGATGTTAGGTACTTTCTTAAAGCCATTTTTCCAAGCAGTAACTTCTCAAGGGCAACTTCCCAAATGTGCAATTTCCCAGGGGCAATTTCCTAAGTCTTGATGTTAGGTTCTTTCCCGAAGGCATTTTCCCAAGTGACAATTTCCTTAGGGTATTTTACCAAATGGCAACTCCCCAAATGTGCCATTTCCCAAGCGGCGAATTCCCAAGTCACCTTTGGGAAGTTGCACATTCGAAAATTAAGACTATCAAATGCATAATAAATGTAAGAGGGACTACTTTAGATATTAGGATAATAAATGTATTCATCAAATTCACAAAAAGGTTGGAGAGACTACTTTTTTAAGTATTCAGACTATTAAATGCAAATATAGAATGGAAAATTGTTCTGACAACAAAGAAAGAAAAAGAAAAACATGGATTACTACTTTTAATAAGAAAGATACCCCTGGGTACTGGATAGGATTGAATTCTGTAATATTATTTTGTTTAGAATATCCAACTTCTGATCCAGGGAGTCAAATGCAACAGAAACGACGCCGTCAGCATGTTGTTAGTTTTATCAGTATAAATAAGGGATACAAGCTTTTATTTACAGTTGTTGTCAGTTGGCTTTATTGAATTTAAGAAAATATGTCAAGAGTGGTGCACTGAGCTCTGAGAGATCATTAAGATGGGTAATCCATCAATAGTTGCAAAATGTCGATTGTCGATCGTACACACTGTCTTACTAAATTTGATTACATGTTGTAACTACTTTAAAAGTTCGCGGAAAAATGATTATACAATTTTTGATTCCTTAATATCATAATAAGTTTATTGTCGAAATCGTCTGGAGTAAGTTTCTATCAAGTATCAATTGTCCCCCCACCCTTCATTCCAAATCCCCAAATGCAGTGCTTTAATCAAGTCAGAACTATAGTGTTGTAAATGTTGGATTCAGGTATTGATCTCCGTCTCCAGGATTAATTTAATTCCGTTGCGATATCTCGTGGTGGTCATATCCTGCAAAGATACCATAATATGAGGGATCAAGATTTATTCTCAAATTTAAACAAGTGACCACATTGGATATCAAGATCCAGCGTACAAGATTAATGAAATTCTACACAAAAGTTTCGACCTCACATCAACAGTTTTATAAAGTTTGCATAATTCTGTCTTGTCTAGTTTTTTAAATGTCTTGGATGAACCCCAAGAATAGAGATGGGCACGTTTTTCATTTCGTTCGTTCATCGTTCGTAAACGACCCATTTCGTTTTTTTTCAATCATTCAAAAAATTTGATTTCGTTCGTTCTCAAAATTATTGTTCATTTTCCATCGATTTCGTTCGTTTTCTCACTGAACGATCTTTCAGTAAATTCGTTCGTTCTGTAATAAATACGATCTTTTTTAAATATTTGTTAAAATTTCATTCATACAGTAAAAAAACTATCTTATTCAAAAAGTTTTATTCAATTATCGTTTGTTTAGATTACAGTTTTATCCCAATTTATTTTAGAAAATTCGTTTGTTCAGTAAAAAAAACTATCGTTCTCTTAAGTTCGTATGAACGACTTTTAAACGTTCTTTTTTTTGTTCGTTTTAATAAAACGAAAAAATTTTCATTTCTCTGATTTCTGAACGACATCATTTTTCACGAAAAATTTCGTTCGTACTTAAAAATTTCGCTCGTTCATAAAACGATACCCATCTAAACCCATGAACCTTGAGTATTGTACTAAGCTTGTAATGCTGGCTGCAGGTTAGGTTGGATAACGGGTACCAGTGTCTCCTCTGCAAGAAGCAGACGGCCGATAACTCAAATATGAACAAGCATATAGAGTTCACGCATCAAACTGATCTTAAAGAATATCTTTCTCATCTTGTAATGTAGAGTATTCAATCATCTGGTGTAAACACCCCCCCCCCCCTTTTAGATTTGTTATTCATTTCCGATTCAGGGTATTTTTATATTTCGTTATTCATTATTCTATGAAGAAAACTTGTGGGTATCTCAATTCCATTTTAAATACATGACTTTTTTCTGGCCATGTTAATGTGCACGAGCAAACAGATTGTGTTAACTGATTGGGCTGAGAATCATTTTTAAAATAACTTTTCGAAAATTTAATCTCAAATGCACAAATATTTAATTCTACAATAATTACTAGTTTCCCAATCTTAGAGGGGAGGGGGCGGGTCCCTGCCATCCCCCATGTTACGCCCCTGTTTTCTGAATCACACTGTTGCAGTATTGCGTACTATAAATAACCCTGAATGAATAGTAAGGGTTTGAACTTGATAAGAATTGTATTATTAATTATTTTTCTCTTATCAGTTTCTTCTTCCTGATATTTCTTTCTTTTACAAGAAAACACAACCTGTTGTAAACGAAAAGGGGTTGAGATATCCGTTTTTAAGGAGGGAGGGGGGGGGGGATATACCGGGCCAAAAATGTTCATAAACTTTTTGTATATATTGAAATATTTATCGAGAACTTCAAACATTCCAACCATTAAGATATAGCCTAAAATATTCGAAAAATTATAATTATTATATTTTTATTTATTTTTATAAGAAGAAATTAAAATGAAGATTTTAACATATCAGGATTTATCAGAATTAAAATAATATTTGACGTTGGTATAATTGCTTAAAATCATCTTTAAATTTGTAATACTCGTGTTCCTGTGCATATAATTTACTCAATCAATATTTCAATCCTTTAAACTTCATATATTTACAATGTACAAATATATTAGGAAAAATACAAAAAAGAAAATTACAGAAAAATCGTAAAATGATTGACGGGAGTCAGGCCGATGACAAAATGAAGGAAACAACCAAAATAAGTAAATCTATACATATTCTTTGCTTGTCTGTCTGTTTGTCTCCAATAAACTTCAAAACGGGTTAACTTAAGTGGTCCAAATTTTGTGTGGGACCTCACATGACCCCAGGGAAGGTTTATGGATGCTCAAAATTACCAAAAATTTGTGTTTAAAAGTTTTTGATTTTTAAAAATGCGCCAACAAATATTTTTAAATCCGTGAATTTTAAAACAAGAACTTGTTTTAAAAGCCGAGTAAATAATTGAATGACTTGATATTTAATTGATCAATAACCTAAGCAATTCTTTAAAACTTTATTAGTTAATTCCTTTTTATGGACATCTAATTAGGGCTGGGCAAAGTTCCGTTAACGAAACGGAGGTCTTCGAAAATTAACGGAAGAGTCCGTTAACGAACGGCAAAAACCGTTACATTAATATATAAGTCATTAACGAAACGGATTGGCTGTTTTTGAAGAAAAAAATAACGGTTAAAAAGTTAACTAAAATGCTAAAATGGTAAATTTCGTTATTTTCTGTTTAAAAATTTTACGCGTTTTGATGTTTTTATATGTTGTCTTCTGTGTGTATAAACCGTTAACGAAACTTTGTTCGCCGTTAATTCCGTTAATACTCTAATATACCGTTAACGGCTGTGCCATTGACGATTTTTTAACCGTTAACGAATTTTTTTCGCCGTAAATGGTACCATTAACGGCTTAAGCTGTTAATGATTGTTGAAAATTATCCGTTAACACCGTTAATAAAATTAGATTGTTAACTAGCGGTAATTTAAAAAATCAAACGGAAAATGCCGACCTTTAAAATTAACGGCTAACTGAAATTTTTATTTTTAAACTGTTGAAAATAACCGTAAACAAAACGGCTAGAAAAAGTTGGAACGTGCCCAGCCCTACATCTAATTCAAACTAAAGTTTTGAGGGTACCAAGAAATTGTCACTTGAAATTACACTTTTAGTGACCCTCCATGCAAAGATGACAATGCCCGATTCACTAAGATACCCTTAAAAGCTTTATCTCATCAAGTATGAATAATTAAGAAATTTATGTTTTTGTTCCTTTTAAATGTTAATTTCTCCGAGTAAGTGACTTGCTAATTTCTTGCTTACAAGAAGCAATAGAGAAATATCTGAACTTATCACTTTTTAAGTAAAAAAAAAAATATTTTCTTCCACATTTGTTTTCAGAATTACGCGTACAGTCTCTTTAAATCACTAGTCTATCCACTCATTTCCACATTTCCTAAGACTGAGAAAGGCACGAAGACATATCTTGTTTCAAACTTTAAACAATCGCTTAAATAATGATGGTTGGTTGGAAATAGGTGGCCTTCTCCATCAACGGAAATCCAGATCTCAGGGTTATTAGTAAATCACAACCATTGAAGAGTTTAATACAGGTAATTTTCAGGATGATATTGTGGTAACGTCGATAGGGATTGTGTAATTTGAAATTGTTATAAACGCTAAATTCCTAAATATGTTCAGACCTGGAATCTCTTGTATTGTGGATATCGAGATCAATGCTTGATCACATCTTTTTGTTAATTTTCAGATAAATTTAATCTTAATTTGATATCCAAGAAAGTGCCTAAAATGCGCGAAATCATTGGTCGGAACCCAGCAGCGATATCTAAAATAGAGAATTATGCAGAAAATCAGAAGTGTCCACAGTGGATATCGAGATAAAGCAAACGGGATTATCCAACACAAAAATTTCCCAGCTCAGGACTCTTTTTAAATCTAAAATAGTTCCATTATGCCAAATCTTAAGCGACATTTCACTATAAATAGAAAACGAAGACAACAAACGTTTCAGTTTTTGTTTCATACTTCCGGTGGACCTTTTTATTTTCTTCCTTTCTTTAATTCTACTTGAATCCGTCCACTATCTTATATTCTTCTCCCTTCTTATTTTTCTCTTGAAATATTTATTTAGGAGCTAGTTGATCATCATAATATGCCTGGAATAGGAGAAGATTACTGCCTCATATTCCAGAAAGGAAATAAAATAAAGGACTATAGGTAAATGAAGACTGTATTACAAACAATAAGGAAAACTTCCAAATATCTTGTATTTTGTTCCAGCCAATCTCAAGTAATGGTAAGTACATTATTTTCTGTTTAAATTGTGATTTATGTGTTAAACTGAGGATTGTTGTACAGAATGAAATTATACAATACAGTATTATTTTTTGCAGGATTGTAACTGAGAAGAACAAGGAGGAGATGAATGCCAAATACGGAAATGTAATTGATCTCACAGGTACAATTTGTAATTAGTACAATTAAACCAAATGAAATTGGGCGCTTCACTCCTCTTTTTTAAATTTCTTTTATAGGGGACAAAAGAATACACATATGAAAAAAAAATAGATTCATTCGTTCTTCCATGGAAATCGTTTCGCAACGTAGGCCTTTCGTTCGCTGTATAGGAAAATCATTTGTCAACCCATCCGAGTACCTCTTGATTAATTAATATTAAATAATACTGGAAGAATTGTTTTTATAGAGTCCCCTGAGAAATCAGTAAACCGTATCCTAACAGTGCTGAAGACTGGAACAGATGGTCCTGAAAGAAGTAAAGTTCTAGCAGAACTCTCCAGGTAGGGTTTACAGTCTTGAGAGATGTGAGGTTCTAGCAGAACTCTCCAGGTAGGCTTAAAGTCCTGAGAGAAGTGAGGTTCTAGCAGAATTCTCCAGGCAGGGTTTACAGTTCTGAGAGAAGTAAGGTTCTAGCAGATCTCTCTAGGTTGGGTTTACAGTCGGGAGAGAAGTAAGGTTTTAGCAGATCTCTCCAGGTAGAGTTTACTTTCCTGAGAGAAGTGAGTTTTTAGCAGAACTCTCTAGGTAGGGTTTCCAGTCCTGAGAGAATGAAAGTTCTAATAGAACTCTCCAGGTAGGGGTTCATGTCCTGATAGAAGTAAAGTTCTAACAGAACTTTTTAGTTAGGGCTTACAGTGCTGAGAGAAGTAAGATTCTAGGAAAACTCTCCAGGTAGGATTTACAGGAGCAGGGATAAGTAAAACATATTCTTTTTAAAGCACTCCCTCTTCTATTTATACATATTAATCAATAATTTTAGAATGAGTGTTGATCAGACAGTTGCTCTTGAGTTCTTTGCAAAGAAAGGTAAGAGTAAAGAATATTAAAATCAACTTCAAATAAACAAAAGAAAAAAAGAAAAAAGTTCACCATATGTAAGGGAAGGGATAGGATGTCGAAAATGAATGAATGAATAATTGTCAGGACTCGGAGATCTGATGTTAATGATCAGTGGAGATAAATTTCAACAAACAGCAGATATTGTTAATCTACTTCATACAGTAGCAGCACTAATGGACCAGGTACATAACTATTTATAAATATAAAACAAATTTAACTTCTTTTGACATAAATTTATTATTTTTAATATTGCTAGGAGATTATTTCTGCGGATAATTTGACGAATGATCAATCGTTTATTGATCGATTAGCTCGTTATATCAATACAGCTAACACAGATCCAGCCGTTCTAGAACAATCTCTTCAAATACTCATCATTGCAGGTAAATGCGGGAATTTTCAAACCAGTTTGAAATGCCGGACAAAATGGCGGACTGGTTTTTAAGTTGGCCCTGCTTAATGAAGTATTTTTTAGCACGAGGTGGTGTGAATTCTGAGAGTATTGATAATTTTGAACGACCTCTAGCGTTGACGAATCTAGTCTCACTTCTCTCCAGGTTTGGTTTTAATCGATTATTAAAAGCATGTGTTCGATTTTTATCGATGAATTATAACGCGCATTCGAACATATATAAGTGGTTTATGAATATAATGCTAATTGAACCGGGTACACACAAAGTAAGTAATTATGTCTATGTTTTAAGATTACAAATAATTCACAAGATTATGAAATATTACATTGTACAATTAAAATGTACATGGTTCATATAGTTTATGTATATTTTGTATAGGAATCAGTGCACAAAACAACTTCGGTACATGGTTCATACATTTTATTTACATATTGTATAGAAATCAGTGTACAGTACAACTTCGCTCTCTCCGTCTGATCAACAGTCTACTGCAGTCAGTAAACCCTCGCAGGTCAGTTTATGTTATAAACTCTAAACATGCGCGTTTTAATAAGTTCACTCTCGATAAATGTCGTCTTAGCTCAATGTATCATCGTATTACGTCAGATATTTGTCTGTTTAAAACAATCCAATTATAAGGTTTTTTGACAATAAATTTTATGATTGGACCTTTACTCGTTGGTTTTAACTGATATTCACACTGTGGCCTAACTATCAATCTTTTTCTTATTTTTCACAGATTTCGAGACGACTTTTTATTTATGTCTTTCATCTTTCATTATTTATTTTGTTTGTTAAGAAAGTCTGACATGGTTCGAATGTTGTCTGAAAAGCCGAGTAGAACAATTATTAAGGATCATCTTCTTTCTCCCAATATATCAGAGGAGTTCAGGGTAAATTTTAAACCAAAATGGTCTGTTCTATATTTTTTTTAATAGATCAATTTTTAAAATGTTTTCTTTTTATGATAATAAGTTTTAAAAGCTTTTAACTTCAAGCATTTTTTATTTGATATTTTTGTAGTGTAATTTCTAAATATAAATCCAATAAATTTTTAGAAAAAGATTTTGCCATGTTAATAATTTTTCCCTGTTTTCCGTTTGACAAACTAATAACTTCATTGTGGTAACCATGAACTAATCTCAGGGTCCTCTTGATTTCGAGCTGTACACCCTTCAGTACCATATCCTGCAGAGACAAATACGTGACAGGATGCTTACCAAGATTGAACCTCAGGACTCATTAGGTAGATAATAGAATTTAGTCAGAGGCTTTCACAAGGAGGGGGGGCAATTGCCCCTCCCCCCTGGATTAATATAATCAATGTTTTCAAGGAGGGCCCCCCCCCCTTGGCAAGAAAACATATTAAGCTACCCCCTGGACAAAGTTTTGTGAACCCCCCACCCCCCTGATTTTTTAGCAAACATTTGTTTTTAGTTGGAGACAACATCTTTGGCTATTAAAATGATCAAATAAATCAATTTGGTTTAAAAGAAAAAGTAGGCATAACTTTAGGTGACTCTCCATAATAGTAATAGTTTTGAAAATAAGGAAAGTAATAATGATACCACATTTTTTTATTTCAGCACTGCAGAAGATTAAAGATTTAAGGAGCACCGCCTTTGATACGGAATCCCCCAACGTCAAGAACAACACGCGGTACTAACATATTTATAATTGTGCAGGTTGCATCATATTTTACGAGTTTAATGGGACACGCTGTAACACAGTTTCTTTGAAGGAAGATTCCATACACCAAGGGTTTCCACGGCCAATTTAACCATCAGAATATTGAATTTAAACTGCCAGTTATAACAATTATATAATACTCGTTGTAGATATTCCCAGGACTACAAGAAACTAGGATTCACAAATGAAAAAGATCCAACCCTGGATTTTATGACAGTTCCTCCAGGTACTACATAACCTTTATAAAGGATAAATATAACGGGGGATGTTAGTGGAGAGGGGAGGTGATGGGAGGGGAGGGGAAATCTGCCTGTTATATTGCACAAAGTAAGAATCCCCTATTATGAGCCTGGTATATTAATTTTTTTTATTGTTAGATTGTTTTATAATAAATATAAAACATTGATTTTATTTTAAAGTGACTGTTGACGCATTTATAATCATTATCTTCTCCAAAAGTTTATCGGCAGATTTCTTCAAATGTCGTCTTTTCAGCTTGAAACTTTCCAGAAAATCGATGACAGCACCCCAAGCGGAAAAAAATGTGCTATACAGCGAGATATAGCAAATTTTCAATGATAAGAGTACATTTTTTCTCAACCTGTTCCTATACAGGCCATATTATTTTACTATATAATTTTTGTTACATTTTTCTTCGCCGTTACTGAATAATTTTAAGAAACCCGCTTTTATTCAACAATTTTAAACCGAAAAAGCGTCTTATGGGTCTCAAATGAATTCTAAATGATTTCTCTACAATACTGAACGCTCTGCTCAATTAAAATATTTAGCCGGTCACTCCCTTTAACCATTCATTCGAAAAATCTTCCATTACTTTTCGTTTTACATCATGGATCATCTAGGATATGCATGATAGGTTTAATGATACAGGTTATGGTTAGTTTTAGTTAAAATCCAGATTTCAAGGTGTTTTGGCTCTGGACTGTATGGACTATTTTGCCAAGAATCATACGGACGAGTTTACCAAGGTGGGTTATCTCTATAAACTACATCAATGCACCGGGAATCCTCAATTCTTTGTTTACATAAAAAAGCGTACAGAAGTTTTTGGAAGGAATACATATTTTTATTAGACAGCGCAGCTTTGAGTTTATGCAGTACATTTTTTTTTGTTAACAAAGACATAGGGTTTCTAGTGTATCTTCCTTGATCACCACTTTTAAATAGTCAATGTTTTTGAATCAGTGTTATTTTTTTAAAAATTTGATTTTAAAACGATCCCTTGTCTTCACTTTATTAATTGTTGGATTTTTCTAAAAAAAACATTTTGTCTGTAAATGTTGAAACCTCAAATGAGGTATCGCTTAAAAAAGTGCTATAAACAATATCCAAGGTGGTGCTATAAACAATATCCAAGGTGGTGCTATAAACAATATCCAAGGTGGTGCTATAAACAAAATATCCAAGGTGGTGTTATAAAAATTATCCAAGGTGAGTGCTATAAACAATATCCAAGGTGGTGCTATAAACAATATCCAAGGTGGTGCTATAAACAATATCCAAGGTGGTGGTATAAACAATATCCAAGGTGGTGTTATAAAAATTATCCAAGGTGATGCGATAAACAATGTCGATGGTGGTGCTATAAACAATGTCCAAGGTGGTGGTATAAACAATATCCAAGGTGGTGCTACAGACATTTTCAAAGGTGGGGGTATAAACATTATCCAAAGTGGTGCTATAAACATTATCCAAGTTGGTGCTATAAACATTATCCAAGGTGGTGCTATAAACATTATCCAATGTGGTGCTATAAACATTATCTAAGGTGGTGCTGGAGAACTCCTGCAGGATGGATAATCATGAATGCCCCTTTGCAGCAAGTAGTATAGAGTTGGTTAAACTACTAGGGGAAATACTAGGTAAATTATAATGATAATATGATAATGATGATAATAATGATAATGATAATGATAATGATAATGATAATGATAATGATAATGACAATGATAATGATAATGATAATGATAATGATGATAATAATGATAATGATAATGATAATGTTAATGATAATGATAATGATAACTATAATGATAATGATAATGATAATGATAATGATAATGATAATGATAATTGTAATGATAATGATAATGATAATGATAATGATAATGATAATGATAATGATAATGATAATGATAATAATAATGATAATGATAATGATAATGATAATGATAATGATAATGATAATGATAATGATAATGATAATGATAATGATAATGATAATTGCAATCAACCATATTCTCTTGGAAATATAGCCATATTTATAACATGATGAAAAGTTGATAGTAAAATTTTCAGTACTTTTTAAATTATTTTACAAGATATATATTTTGCAGGGATAGATTCGCCACCCTTATCTGCAGGAAATGTTCGCTATCAAGAAATGTTCTTTAAATGTGAACATCCTTTTGAGGTATTACAGATATTATGATAATTTTTGAGAAATTTGAAAATTTTCTTAAAATAGATTTTTGATATATTTAAAAAAAAATCTTCATTTTTAGAGAGGAGGTAAACTGAGTTAAGATTTACGGTTAAATCCATGTTTAGAGGTTTAAAGAAAAATATTTATTATCCAATCAAATCTTTAAAAAAATATTTATTATCCAATCAAATCTTTTAAAAAATATTTATTATCCAATCAAATCTTTTAAAAAATATTTATTATCCAATCAAATCTTTTAAAAAATATTTATTATCCAATCAAATCTTTTAAAAAATATTTATTATCCAATCAAATCTTTTAAAAAAATATTCTCCAAATATGTTAAGTTATTAAGGGCGCCTAACTATTTACATCGAGATTTTTTACATAAATAATTAATTGCTTTAAAATATTTTATATTGACTCCAATATCCAATAAAAGTACTGTAGATCACTACACTACGCACAGAACCAGATTTAATTTACAGCGATAGTAGTTGAACTGAGAAGACGTAGTTCAACTACTTTAACCTTAGACTACGGGGAATAATTCTCCCTTAATGATCAAATGTTCTCCCTTTTCTGGTAATGTACCAGTAGTAAACTTATTGTGTATGACTTACTTTTATTACTAGGTTCAGAACGGGGATTTTTATTATTTTTCTAAATTAAGAAAAGTAACTCACGCTGAATACCATCCATTTGTCCATTTTCAGTATTTTTATAACTGCTTTATTTAGGATGTTTTTTTAATACTCATAACAAATATTTTGCTTTTAAATTGAGAAATTTTCAAGAGATTTTAACGATTTTAACGTTTCTAAATTCAGTTGTTTTAAGACGGGTATTTTGATACTCATTTTGAGTTTTTTTTCTGGTTTACATTACTGATTTGATTTCACAAAAAAGCTAAAATCTAAATGTGTTTAAAAAACATGTTAAAAATTCTCAAATATTTTTTTTGAACTGTATCAAAGAAAACGTTAGAACTAGTGCCAGGTGGATTCGAGCACTTTTATCAACAAACTGCTCCATATTTTTACCCGTAGTTAATGAATAAAATTTGTTACACGATTAAAAGAATATTTACTCTACTCGCAAATATGATTTATAAAATATCTATTTTAGGAGTTCAAATCTAATTAAATAATCTTACTATATTTCTTACGCGTGCGTTTGTTAAAGAATACACAATGATCAATTCTTCTCGTTTTAGAAACAATATTTTAACAGTTCTCCCCCCCCCCCACACTATCATATTATAGCGTTAATCAATTAATTTTTTATTAAAAGTTTCATTTCGGATTAGTAAAAAACTGCACAATGTTAATTTAGCAGAATTTTATGATTAAAACTTGATTAATTTTTTGCCACAAGCCGGCAAGAGAACTGTAAGACCCCTCTCAAATAATATTTAAATGTCTAATATTTATATGTTGTCAGGAGTTCTACACCCATTGTGTTATTATCTTGAATAAGACCTGGAAGGAGATGAGAGCAACCAGGAAACTTGAATAATTCATTTCCTGTACTAGAGCTGGAAACTTTTTAAGACAGGCATAAGTTAACCTTGTACTCTCTTCAAGGGGAGGTCAATGACCCGTCAATGATGAAAAAACTTGATAGATATTGATAAACACTCCACTCCAGTTAATTAACCAATAAGAGATAAGTTATTTTCCCCACAAAATATAATGCAGTGAATCCCAGATATATAAATACATAGCAAGATTTTATAATTTTGTATTTCATATTTAAGATCAAATGCCGTGGAAAAATGAGTTTAATATTAATATATCAATTACATTCCTATTTCAGGGCTATTAATTTACCGTTATTTTAAAATAAAAATAAGTTTCTTTAGAATTATCTAAAAAAACTTATGACGGTCTATGTATTCCTATATCTGGGATTTACTGCATGTTAAACTAATTTAGTCCATTTACAACTTCCAACCTCTAACTAAATTACATCATATTTTTAAGTTTTCCAAGGGGAAAAAATTCATTTAAAGGAATTGAGTCTTTATCACAAACTGAAATATTCTAATCCCTGTATCTTTGCAACTTGATTGTGTATAAAGTTTTGATCGATCAATTCCTTTTTTGATTTGATTGTCAACTTTATCATTCAAAGAAAAACTTTAAATGGTTTAAATTTTTAGTAATTACTCGAAATGTAATTGTTTTCTTGCTTCTGAAGACTACTTAAATATTAAACAATCCGATATCAAAGGGACTAGAGACCGCAGATTAAGAAATTCTCCCTGTCCGATTCATAATTTGGTACCATTAAAATAAATTCTGATCAAGAACACATGAGATATCCATTATCTTCTATTTAAGATCAAGAACACATGAGATATCCATTATCTACTATTTAAGATTAAGAACACATGGGATATCCATTATCTTCTATTTAAGATCAAGAACACATGGGATATCCATTATCTACTATTTAAGATCAAGAACAAATGGGATATCCATTATCTTCTATTTAAGATCAAGAACACATGGGATATCCATTATCTTCTATTTAAGATCAAGAACACATGAGATATCCATTATCTACTATTTAAGAACACATGGGATATCCATTATCTTCTATTTAAGATCAAGAACCCATGGGATATCCATTATCTACTGTTTAAGATTAAGAACACATGAGATATCTATTATCTTCTATTTAAAAATTGATTGTTTTCAATTGCAGTTTCTCCAAACAGTTACTTGCGTATTTCTGCCTCAGAAACAACGGGGAAAGTTGTTCGGATATATCACTTTCCAAGCTTAAAGAAATTACAATAGTTTCCATATCATTGATCAGATTAAGGTTTAAAATTTATCCTTGTGATTCGGACATATCCCGCCTTAAAATGGAAAGTCACTAAAAAATAACAACGATAGTTCCTTCAAAATTAAAAAGAAAAATACAGAAAACATAGAATTATGCAAGTATTGATCAGGGAGGACTTTAAGAAGGTATTCGATGTGGTCCGTGAACAGGTGGAGAAAGCCCTCCAAGGAAAGACTAACAGCGGACCTAAAACTTTTGACGAGTTTAGGAATAAGGTAAAAAATATCAATGATTTTATATTTATAAATGTCGATATTTCTTTTGTGTGTTTCATGCCAACCCTTCCCCTCCCCCCATCCCCCTTCCAGATTTCTTTCACCTGTCCTAAACCTTCTTCCTTGATATTTTATTGTTTTTTTTTGGGGGGGGGGGATTATTAACATGCTTTACATTTTTTCGGCTACAACTTTTGCAATGATAAAAAATAGATTTGTTTCAATAAAGAAACTGTAAGAACCCATTTTGTATTGAAGACATTGTTCACGAAAATGTTTTAAGATTTTAAAACTTTTGTATTATTTATTCCATGTAAACACAAATTAGAGATAATAGATTAAAAAGGAGCAACATTAAAGTTCTACTAACGCGTAATTTAGGATAATTTTAGAATAATGAGAATACAAATATGATGTTTTTGTTCTAAATTTCCAATTAACGTTCTTGAAAGAAACCGCAAGTAATTTACTCCGCCAACACAAAATCTAAAAATAAACCTAACAAATTAAACAATAACAACGTCATTGTTTTGGTCCTTGAACATGAATAGTAAACAAACATTGAAACCATTGTGCATCTTTCATGTTCGAGGATTGTGGAAGCTTTAGAGTTTAACCCAAAACTTCGGAGACATCGAAAAAATTTATAAAATGTCGTTTTATAAACTTACTGATATTATAATGCTGCAGATATTTAGTTTTCTAATAGAATAATTATAATGATCTCTTTATTACTGTATCCGCATATTTCATGACTTTTTATGTATTTTTACAATTACTGAGATTTAGGCATAATAGTGGAAACCGATGGTGTATTTTTGGACCTACGCCCATCCCCTCTACTGCCCATCCGACCTACAAGCACGTGGTTTTAACAGCTGTGGTAGGTCCGATGCACTGTAGGTCGGATGGGCACGTTAAAAACAGCATATTGGTGCATCCGACCTACTTTAAGCTGTCGCTTGGACACGTTAGTAGGTCTGATGGGCCTTAAGTCGGATGGGCACATTTTTCGTAGGTCGGATGGGCATTTTTCGTAGGTCGGATGGGCACATTTTTCGTAGGTCGGATGGGCATTTTTCGTAGGTCGGTTGCCCATCCGACCTACGAAAAATGCCCATCCGACCTACGAAAAGTGCCCATCCGACCTACGAAAAATGCCCATCCGACCTACGAAAAATGCCCATCCGACCTACAAAAAGTGCCCATCCGACCTACGAAAAATGACCATCCGACCTACGAAAAATGCCCATCCGACCTACAAAAAGTGCCCATCTGACCTACAAAATTGATCGGCCGTCCGACAGCTACAATTAATTATTTCTACCCTACTGCGCTATAGGCATGACAAAAGCTGCTGAATAGGTCGGATGGGCAAGAAGATATGCCCATCCGACCTACAGCTGTCGTAGGTCAGATGTTGCAGTAGGCCGGATGGGCAGTATAGCGGATGTGCAATAGGACGGATGGGCAGTAGAGCGGATCAACATTACCGTGGAAACCACATTGAAAAAAATTGTCAAGACGACATTTTATAAAATCTTTCGATGATTCTGAAGTTCTGGGTTAAACTCACAATCTCACTAAACAATTAATTTTCTCATGAGTAAATAGCAACCAATAAACAGGCATGACAAATATTGTTTAGCACATTAAAGAAAATTTTGTCAAAAGCCTTTCTTCCTAAAAAGAAAGGCTAAATTGGTTCGATGAACCCATACGGGCATCGTTCATTGCATATACACGATTCGATCAGCTTTGAGCCCGAAATTTAAGATGAGTATTTTCATGAAACCTGTTAGCAGAACCCGGGCTTCCTGAATGGGTTAAGGCAATTTCGGAGATATCAAATTGTTTTTTAGAAATATTATTTCACATGATTGGTTGGACCATTTTCAAATTCTTACATTTATATCTATTATCTACACTAATGTATAGACCCCATAAAATAAACCTTGGGAGTTTCACTCAACAACTATATGACATGATCTTACTGTAGGTTGATTGGTAATAAAAACTAATTATAACTCTCTTAAAGTTCCGCCTCTGGGCTAATACACACTGAACGATCTATAGAAGGCTGAATGGGACAGTACAGGGTGCCCCAAAAAACATGGGAATTCAGTGACAAATTGGATATCGTCTTTGTTTGAATTAGCATTGTAATACCTAATTTCAAAACCCATAATATTATTATGTCTGCTAGAGTTTATTTTATGAAAAGGGTAAAAGACTGTAAAGATGTGTCTATAATGTCTTCGCAAGATGAACAGTGAAGACGGACAAGTTTAATCTGTTTGTATACTGCAATTTTCTTGTTTTACTAAGTACAACCGTATGCAGTCAAAACATAAACAAACAAAATGTGAACATAGCAGACGAAACTCTTACAGATTACAGATTTCTCAGTAGGCATCACTTAACTAAATCAAAAAGTTATTTAAAAAGACGATATCGAATTCTTCACTGAATTCCTATGTTTATTGGGCCACCCAGTACATTAAATAAATAAAAACTTAAATTACAAAAAGATTTTTGTTTAGAATTTGAGTTCTCACTCACAGCACAGATTATGCCATTTTGAGAATTAAATATATTTAAAAAAACAATATTGGTTTATTTAGGTAAGATCTTATACAGATATCAGTAAGAAATGGCAGAAGGATGCAAACTCCAAGGATCCCTGGAAAGAGAGCGAACCAGTAAAGGTGAGCATATAGTAGGTTTTAATTGTATGCCATTAAATTGCTAAAGTTTTTTAAAAACTTAAAATTTTAACCAAAAAATATAAAGAATAGATCTCAAATAAGTTTAAAATAAAATTGTAAGAAAAAGAAAAAATTCTCTCAAATTACAAAATAATAAATAGAAGAGTGTAATTAAATGTTTAATAAAAACAAGTTAAAGAGATAATGAAAAAAAGTGAAATATATGGAAAATCTATTTTAAGGTTCTAAAAGCTCATTTATGCCACGAGATCGAGGAGTTGATACAACAGCAGAGATACAGCTTTATGGTGGAGGGAACAAGATTTCAAAAGTAAGACTTTAAGGGACTGAAGTCTGTTAGCGTAATTTCAAGTGATCCTCATCCAAGGATGACAATGCCCGGTTTACAGCGGTATCCTTTGATATACACAATAAAATACTTATGTTATTCTTGACTTACTCGGCAATCGGCATACATGACGCCATGATATTATATTTAATTTAATGAATCTGATCCAACCAATCTTGTTTATTAGATTAAAGAAGAACGGTGAGGTGTTAAAAGGACAATATAAGTACTTGAAGCTTCACCCCAACCACAAGACCCTATACTCCGGAGAGTGGAACCACGAGAAGACCGTCCCAACCATAGAGGACCTGGAGCCTAAGGTTCAGGTAAGGATTTGGGCTCCTTTGATTAAAGTGTGCAGACTCCCAATCATTGTGGGGACATTGTTATTTAAGTTAAGAACTTGCCACTTCTAAAATAAAAATTGTATCAATTGTATCAGATGTATAAAAATACTACATTTTGAGGTATTTCAATACCTTCTTAACAAAAACCGGATTGACCAAATTTGAAAAAGAAATTTAAATTAATATTCCATATTCCATTCTGTTTTTTCAAAAACGTTTTAGAACAAAACACTATTTGTCATTGGTCCATCAAGTGGAGAATAAAATGGAGCTTAAAATTAAATGGGGTATTTTAATTTTAACATTTTAGGTTCAAGATATCAAAGATATTCAGATTGGTGGAAACTGTACTTTTCTCAAGGAATACCCAAAAGGTATAAAACATTCTTGTATATCTTTCAGGGCGCTTCGCACCCCTCTTCAAGCAAATTTTTTAGCGTTAAAATGTTGCTTTTAAACCGCCATTTTTTTTGGATATTTGTAAAACGCAAAATTTTGCAGGGTTTCTCTTAACATTGATGAATTACAAAGTTCAAAAAAATCAATTTTTTTTCAATTTCGACCAGCCCGCCATTTGTTCTTAATATTTTGAGAATTTCCTTCCCAGATTTCTTTATCTCTTTTTGTAATGATAACTGTTATTTTTCAGTGATTAATGAATTTTGTTGTAGCGGTAATTTTATCTTATTATTAACCATTTTTTTAGCCAATTCTGAGTTGTCTCGGACTGCGTTCTCTATCCTGGCGGAGAACGGATCCCTGGATTGTATAGCTCAGGACGAGCAAACCTTTAATTACTGGCAGGACGGCATCAATACACTTCTAGGGTCAGTTTATCTTTACAAACAAGGGGGGTGGGATCAATTATAATTCCTTAATTGATTTCTTATTTAATGTATTTACATCGAGTTAGAGGTATGGGAGTAAGATGTCGCTAATAACTACTCATAACACTGTTATTTTGGTTCGTAATGTTATAAAATTTAAGTTCAAAAACTTTTTTAATGTATATCGTGCCAAAATAATAGTGTTATAGGTGATTTTATGAAACGTTTGTGTACTTGTCTTATTTCAATGTCTATTTCTAGATGAAAAAAGCTTTGAAACAAAGCAGAAGTCAAAATATAAATTTGATTTCAATTTTATTTTCATTTAAATTGAAAAAATATTTTGGAAATATCCTAAATTTTTTGGAGAAAATCTGGGAACCAATCAAAACTTTATAGCGCACGTGCTATAGTGTACAGCTAGTTTAACATTACAGCACGATGATTACTTTATAGCAAACGTGCTATAATGTACAGCTAATTTAACTTTATTCCACGATGATTAACTCTATAGCACGTTCATTTTATAAATTATATAAATTCACGATGAAGAGAGGAAGAATGATAAAGCACACAATAGTTTCATAAAAACATTGTTTTTTTTTCTGCTTTCGCTTTTTCACTAAAACATCAAACTTAGAAATGTTTTTAGATAAAATTAATTTGTCAATTTTCGTCAAAACCTTTTCCAGTTTCATAAAACCTAAAATTTTTAAAATCTCCGTCAATCTTAGGACTGTTGTTATATAGTTGATAACGCTTATTGATGAAAAAATAAATCAAATAATGATCAGGAAGCGAATGGCAAGCGGAGATTATCTGAAGGAGAAGGAGATATTACTTAATATGGAAGTGAAGCTCCGCCTGCTGGACCTAGAGGGTATGGAACTTCCAGCATCCGCTCCTGTTATTCCTCCGCCTCCACCAAACCTAAACTTTTCTCTCAACAACTGACCGAGGGCGGATAACTCTTTAACATCTTTCTATTGACAATTTACAAATGATGATTATTATTTTTTCGTAAAGCGTTTATCTTCAGAGAAGGGTTACTTACGCGCTTTGTCTCAGGGAGTTCCTGTCTAAGAAAAGGGAGATGTTTTCAAACAGAAACTGCAATTTATGAACGAGCTTTTAATGAGAAAAAACGTTTTGGAATCCAACCCTAACAAGTTTACTTTTCTTACTCTTCGGTGAAGAATGAAACTAAATGATTTGCAAGCTTCAAAAGTTGTAGCAGTAATTCCGCAAAAGTTTAAACTTTGTGTACTCTTCGCACTTTTTGTATTTTGTAAAAAAAAATACTCAATTTGGTGATTCGTATTGTTTGTTTAGTACTTAAAGCTTTGATAATGAAATGAAGATTAAAAAACCAAAGATAGCTAATAAAACCATTAAATTTTGTAGTATTTCATATTTTAAATTTTGTAAATTTTTAAATGCCTTGTTTTTTGTTGTTGTAAGCCAAATACTATATTACAATGGATTTTTTGTCGTCAACTTGGAGCATTAGTTTTGTAAGATAACTTGAGAACCCTGACTGTATCGCATTATTTTTACCATAATTCGCCAGTTTTTGTGAAAAAAAAACATGATTGGTGCGCTCGCCTTGATTTTTAAACTTATTTTTCGGCTTGCAGATTACCCATTCAAAAACCATTACCATGAAAGTATAATCACATTTGTAAACAATTTTTTGTATTTTTATGCATTTATTTTTATATCAGGTTCTCTAGTCACAACATTTGTTCAGTACTCTTATGTATATGTACTAAATGTTTGTCTATGTTTGTATGTCTAAAGCTGTTTTCAATGCCTCGTATTAAATCTTATGATTTGTAATCTATGCATTTACCAAAAGAATTAGTTTAACTAAATTTCAGAGAAAATGCAAATATATGGAATACGAATATTTTCTAGATATTTGATGATATATTTTATTCCAACTTGTTAAATATTAGATAAAAGATAGAAGAGCTGTTACTAGGATGGGATTCAAGGGTGTACCGGATAGGTGGGAGGACTACTCGAACTCAGGGAATGTGATAAAAGGCACCAGGTACGAAAAATAGTCCTAACGGTGTCTTCACCTCCGCCAGAGGGGAAGGTGAAGGGGACCCCTCTACACCCCCCCCCCCGCGCCCTTTTCCAACTCTTCATAAAAAAATTTATTTATTGTTTTTTCTTAAAGGAACCGTCGTCCTTATTTCAAGTTAACTTCCTGAAAGAGAAGCAATTTCACAACTGTAAGTGTAATCTTATAATAGAATGTATCAAGGAAGAAATATTATTTTTTATTTCTTGATAGGAGCAAGCGTGATATAAAGTTTGCCATTTTTAGATGTTTCGACAGATTTTGCTCAGGACCGGTACCATTCATACTCAATTAAAACAAAATATCTGTTTTAAGTTCTTCGTGTTTTTTTAACCTTAGTGACAGAAAATGTTTGAAATGTTTTTTGTTGTTGAAAATTACATGTCCCCTTTCTCCCTATCTTTGCATAGATGAAAAAACTCCTCTAATAACTTTCTGTTTTAAATAAAAAAAAATTAATAGATTTTCCAACTTCTTGATGTTAAGGTTCATCAGCTTCAAGGTGCCGTTGAAATCCAACCTCTTGAGTAAGGTTGCTCCAGGTGTAGACAATAACTGGGGGATTCCAAACCTGATTCAATCTATTCCAGATCTAGGTCTTGTTATAGATCTAACTTATACTTCCAGGTATATACCTAATAAGTATATAGATATTATATTATATTATATTATATTATATTATATTATAATAGGCTTTTGTAAATTTCTTTCTTTTACAAATTAAGAATTTTATATGTTTTTTGAACTGAGCTTACGACCATTTATTCGAAAAATTAAGATTTTTCCTGCCTTAATAGTAAAGGGGATGGTGGAGTTGGCACATTTGATGTAGGGGGGGGGGGCCCCGCCTTCATTTTTGGTTCAAATCTTCCAATTTTT